CTTGTTGTTCCTGTTGTTGTAGTTCGTTTCGACATCTACTTCGTGCGGAGGTGGTACGACGCGACTGCTACTACTTGAAGATGAAGCGCCTCCTCCGATCTGCAGTTCTTGCGCAGGTTCTTGATCGCCTTGTTCAGGTCGGGCCATGATACCATGAATGCGTTTCTTTGTTGCGTCAAACTTCGGTGGCGAACTGGTACCAACACCACGCGGCTTCGTTTTGGCTACTGCCGCACCACTACCCCTAGTACCTTTAACCGTCTTCGTCGTACTAGAACTAGATGACGAGCTACTTCGATCGACCGTGCGTGGCTTTGTCTGCTTGACGTGGAGGACCCTAGTTGTCCTTAGAGGTAGGTTTTTGGTGCTCGCTTGTTATGCCTTTCTCATCCTAAGGGAGAGAGGCATAAAAAGCGGTAAGAAAAGCACCTTTAACCTACCCTTAATGTACCTCCACCCTTAATAGGCGTCGTAGTCGTACTAGTAGGTGAAGATCGCCTACTACCCTTATCAACAGGACTACGTGGCTTCGTTCGCTCCTCGCCCGTCTTTGGCCTTATTCCCTTTTGGCTCGCGCTAGAACTTCTTGCTTCGCCTGCGGTCGTAGGGAAACGAAGTGGTGGCACTCTTACAGAGGAAGAAGGAGACGAACTTCCCGTGACCTTCCCTAAAGTAGTTTTCTGTCCACTGAAGTGGTCATTCTGCGATTGAAGCACAGGAGACTCAAAAAGCGCTTGCCGGACGTCCTCCTCTAAGCCAGGAGTAGATGTCGGACTGGGGCCAGCACTAGTTGCTGCATTTCCATGATTTGTACTGGCTAGCTGCAATGTTGATGAGGCCCGGCGTCCTGCTCTCCTAGGAGCTTGCTCATGCTGCATGATCCTCTCCTGATCGTTGTCGTATGTGCCTTCTCCAGCAACTGTGACCACTTTGTTGCCGACGTCTACTGGTTCCTCGGGTTGATTTAGACCTAGTCATCTCTAAGATTTTCTTCGTAGTTGCATAACATTTGTAGGCTATCTAGGGCGCACATTAAGGCACATTTTCTACTACAGAGTCTAAGTTTCCTTCATCCAAAGCCTAAGGCACATTTTCTCCTACTTAGCTCCTGTAGTTAGGTTAGGTTATGTATAGCGTAGATGACGGGTGGAGGTCCTCTACCTAGTATAACAACATTAGAAGTTTGAATGAGTGATCTTCAAGAAGTAGAACAACTAGCAGGTGTGTTGTACTTGATCAATTAAGAGGTAACTCCTGAGAAGTATGTCGTACTTATCAAAAGAGTAAAAAATATGACGACGTGCTGATGAAACTGACAAAGATGGAATCACTGTAAAAACGGTAAGCCTTAATAAAAGTTCTGGCCCTAGCGCTGCTGCCTCTCCCTCGGCGGCCCGTTGTCTTGCTCTTCTTGGTTGCTGTGGTGATTGATCCTGAGGCAACAAAAACGCGCTGTCCAACGGCCCGTTCTCGTCGTAGATGATAGAGTGCTGTCTGTGTCCGTCCTCGTCTAAGCTAACACCCGATCCCAAATTCTGATTAGAGCACTTTCTTCACTTCTACACTATCAATATTTTCAAGAGGCCAAATAGACGAACCTAAACATTTGGTGGAAGGGCTACCTAGGCTCGTCTTTTCTAATAAATCACGCTGCTGTAAAGCGAAAACCCCAGAGAAAAAAATCTCTTCTGGAGCAGCTGCATTCGATGAGAGACTTACGTTACGATCGGGATGATCGGTTCAGAACAATGACAAAAAAATTACTTACATGACAATAAGATGACAAAATAAGCCTTAATTAAGAAGGGTCCCCCAAGCGCCTCAGGTTCTTGACGGGGGCTGCGTCGAGAGCTGCCGCTTCTATGCGATATGCTCCGCGCGCTAGGAAATATATTGAGACTGTTGTCGAAATACTGTACCGAAGTTCTGGCAGTTGCCCTTGCAGCCTCGTTCCAGTTTCCAACCAAGAGAGGGACTTGACTCTGACCTGCACTTTTTCCAACAACCCCTCCGCGATGGTCCATGATAGCTCTTGGTGCATGTACATCGTTTGGTACATGTACATCTTTAGAAGCCTTGATAGATCTGGGCGTAGGCGTCGCTGGCGAATCATTAGCATTAGGCGATAGTCCTTCTGCGAGACTCGAGATGCGAAAGCTCATGTCCACATCGGCACTATTTTGCTGCAAATCCTTCCGCAACGACGGACTTTAGAACTACCGCGTTAGCATCTTCCTTATGAGAGATAGCATCTTTCTTGTGAGGCTTGTTGTTTTTGTTTTTTTTCAAGTAAATGAAAGTAGTTTTCAAGTGGTGTCTGTAGATAGTACTATTATAAGCCAAGTAGTAGAGCTGTGCTCCTGAGGATGCTTGAGCGGTACTAGCCTTAAGGATTGGCAAACAACAAGCCCGCATTCTCCAGAGATTAGACAAGGTACTAGAATTTTGGTGTTCGTTTCTTTCCCCCATTTCGCTTTCGTTCCCCAGTAAAAGACCGCAACTCCCGTTAAAGAGGCCAACTCTTCTCCCTACGAGGACAAACTGTAAGGGGCAACAGAAAGAAACACCAAAAGCCTAGTAGAGCCTTAGAAAGACTTCACATCAGCTACCAGTGCGTCATGGTCTGGGTCGTGGCGTGTACGATCGTCGTGGCGTGTATGATCATGACCATCATGTGAACGATCTTGATATGATGAAAAATGTTTGCTTTCTCCATCTAGGCAGATGACTGACCTCTGGATAGCCATCTAGACAGATGAGGATGACTATCGAGCAGTATAATACACCTGACTCAGATACTACTTGACCTATGCACTTCCAAGGAAAAATAAAGGAGCAGCCTCGGTGATCCGTTAAAGATGGGAGAAAATTTTCCATACATGATACGGGTCCTCCGAATGGTGATGACACGGGTCGTCCGAATGGTGACGATACGGGTCGTCCGAATGGTGATGATACGGGTCGTCCGAATGGTGATGATACGGGTCGTCAGAATGGTGATGATACGGGTCGTCCGAAGGATCTGCGCGTCTCCTTAGTTCGCCTTGTCCATCCGCATTCCTTCTTAATTCGCCTTCTCCATCCGCATTCCTCCTTGCTTCGGCTTCTCTATCCGCATTCCTTCTTAGTTCGCCTTCTCTCTCGGCCTTCTTCCTTGCTTCGGCTTCTCTATCCGCAGTCCTTCTTAATTCGCCTTCTCCATCCGCATTCCTCCTTGCTTCGGCTTCTCTATCCGCATTCCTTCTTAATTCGCCTTCTCTATCCGCATTCCTTCTTAATTCGCCTTTTCTATCCGCATATTTCTTCTCTAGATCGAGCAGCAATTGTGCGTCTCCCTTCCTCTTAGCGCTAGAGTATGGCACCACTATCCGTGGCTGTGGTGAATTGCCGCCTTGAGACAAGGAGGCTCAATTGCCCTTGCCCGACACACAGCCACGTGCGAGTTCGATTTCCCTCGACTTGTTCTTCTACGGGGAACAACCCACTCAGACAGCATAGTGGTCCACGTGGGGTAGTCGTGATAAACTAGCCTTAACCCTCAGCGCATCTGCGACGTTCAGCGCATCAGCCGCTCGTCGACCAGGAGAAAACATTAGACGAGGCTAGTAATAGCGTCTGCTAGTGCTGGTGTAAAATCTCGAACTCGAGAACTCGTGATATAATACAACTCGTAGTTATAATCGTACTGTAAATACTTCTAGACCCAGATGATTCACACCTAATTTTTAATGGGCTCTTAAGTTTTTTTCCTTGTCATCTGCGTATTCGGATGTGATCCAGGCAATAGTTCCCGCTCCGGACGAGAGGATCTGCGATAGTGGGGGCGCTCTCACTTCCCAGACGCGGTAGGTCCACGGCGGGCCGCACAAAGTAACCGCACCGAACATGGGATCATTAGAGGTTCCAGGTGGCTGATCCACCTTCAATGATATATCAGTGAAAAATAGACATAGAGGCTGGTTCTTCCCTGCTCAAGAATATACTGGAGGGACCTTCCACCCTATGCATAGAACAGGAGACGGACTTCATGCTGGAGATCCGCTAGGACGTTCATGCTAGGACGTTCCACGTTCATGCTATGGACTACATGCTAGGCCTTAAGATAACGCTCCACGTAGAAGGTTCGCTCGCTTGCGACGTGCGTGCTTCCAGCACCGAATAATTCCGTCGCATAGTGCCCACCACGAGCTGGCAATGTGCTTAAAGGTCACCGTGGTCCATCTTGCGACGCATGATACTAGACTCTGTACAGTAGAGCTTCTTTCCCCTTGAAACAAATGCAGGTGCTTAAAAAATGTACTTATGTGCTTAAAGTGCGCAAATGTTGTCCCCTTGGAAGAAAAGCCACGTCGCCATTTTTATTCCTCTTAAGCTTATATATAAGATGGAAAAAGCAAAGGGGAAGCCTTAATGTACCCCGAGCTGCATCTGGAACGTTGCGGCTTACTTTTGCGGGATACTCATAGCCTTGCGTTAACCGTGGGGGTGAACCGTGTACGCCACCTGCCATGCCACCTACCACGCCAGCAGCATGACCAATATGGCGAGCATTAGAAGAAGGAACTACAGTAAGCTCTTCGTATTTTGGCGAAGTATACTTTTCACTTTTGTACTAGAAGTAGACCGATGCAGATGTTGAAGATCAGTGTCCTTCGTTATCGACGTTTTGACGGAGAGGACTTGTGAAAGAATGGTGATCCTATTACCCTGAGTAGGACTTGATGATACTAGTGGTTCAGCCAGCCGAACTAGGAAAAACAAAAAAGTAGATGACGCAACTCGTTGTTTTAATTAGTGCTTTGCCATAATAGTAAATCCCGTATGTTGAATTTTCGTATCTTGTCCTGCAGCTCCGAAATGCAGTCGGGCCCTATAGTCTGCCTCTACCAGTAAGCTTTTGACGAACTCTGCTTCCGCTAGGGCCCGTTTTAATCTATTCATGTACTTAGCAACCTCTTTGAGGTTTATGCGGTGTTTCTTGCTTCTGGCAATACGCTGCTCCCACTCTTCAATTTCCCCCGCTATTTCCGCACGCCTGTCCTGCAGTCCCTCTACTCGCTCTTGCTCTGCTTCCAGCTTATTCAGGGTAAGCTCGCGCGCTTTTTCGGCTGCTCGCACTCGCTCAACCACCTCAGCTAACTTTTCCGCACTCTCTGTTTCGATGGCTAATTGCTTCACTCTTGCCGCAGTGTCCTCCAGCTCTAGTCTTTTCGCATTCTTAGAGTAGCCACTAGGAGGGAGGATCAATCAATCAACCAGAGTGCCTCCACAGTCAGTTTCTTTTCTTTTTTTGTATTCCGAGAACGCCGAAAGGGTGACCCCAGTGTTGTCCGGTGTACCTGCCGGCGACGGGTGGAGTGCATTAACCTCCTTATACGGCCACGCACTAATTGCCTAAACCCCGTCGATTAAAAAATGAAGAAAAAACCAGGGGCAAAGGAGGCGAAGATTAATTAAGTAAGATAAACCTCCACCAGCTGCCAACCGTCCCACTCTTATGCGCCAGCCTACAAGGCACGAGGGCAGGCCCGCCAACCCTGCTTACTCTTGAATATTATCTATATTACAGCAGGAAGTAGACCTGGTATCATACTGCACTACATTGAACGCTGTGGCTGAGTCGTGGGTTCTCTTTCCTCCCCAAAAAATGGCAACTTCAAAGGAGAATGCCGCAGCATGGTGTGGTACTGCAAATGATATGCTGACTTACTTACAAAGTTACATCATGGAATAGTGATATACTAGCCCTAACTTTCAACTTTACTTCTAACTCGCTCTCCTGCTGCGGCGCAGCAAGCGCATTCCGAGAGAAAGTTTCCGCTTGCTCCGCCAGTGTCCTTTCTTGCGCACTCAGGGTCTGGAAGAGTTTTTCTATTTTTAAATAAATCATACTAGAACTGTACATATACAACTAAAACTGCCCATCTACAACTAGACATGATTCTCATCATCTTCTGTGCTTCCGTGCAGATGAATTTCATGGTCATCTATGCAACCGAAAGTCAGCATGGACGATCCTTGTGCAACTGCAAGCTGGACAAAAAGCTGATAATACATGACTACACTAGTGCCAGATCTTGACATCCTAATCATGATTTCACCTGCCAATGAGGAACTACGTCTACGTCTACGTCTACGACGAGTGAACTACCTGTAGTTGCTCAAGACACACGCTGACGAGCTCAGGGTTGTCTGCACTCCCCTCCTCCGAAACGCGCCTTAGAGTCCAGAACTAGTCTCTTGATGATAATGGTGACGATGGTGACGATGATGATGATAACAAGCTAAAGCCGTAAGTGTTTCTCGAGCTCCTGCAACTCCTCCGATTTCCTGTGGCATTCATCCCACGCATGTTCCCATCTAGATTGCACACCAAGAGCTTCCTGAAAGATGATGATGAGATTCAGAATAATCATGTTAGACCAAGTGTGTGCTACAGACGCAGCCGCTACCGTCCATCATCGAACGGCTCTTCTTCAAGAACAATAAGTCTATAAAAGGAACTATGATCATTCCTTCCGGAAAGGTGAGGCTCTTGAGGTTGCCGCCACGTTTTCAATATAATCTTTTCCTTTCCAAAAGGGAGGTGGAACAAGACCTGCTGCAATGCTTTCACATGCTGCGTAGCCTTGTCGAACTTGCTTTGCAGTGATTGGACCTCTTTCCCAAGAACAATCATGTGCGCCTCCGCCTCCTGCCAGTTCCGTTGTCTCTCTGCTTGCTTATTCGCAAAGTCCTCCATTCTTAGAGCTCTCCGCAATTCATCTTTGAAAAAAATGCGTGAGTATGCTCTGGCGATACTCCCCCATACAACTCTTCAAGGATGCAGTCAAGAAAGATGAATTAAGTACAGCCTTAACATTTTCTCTTCAACATCAGCATCGTGCTCGGCTATACTGACTTGCCCCAGCTTCGCTGCCAGCTCTTTAACTGCACTCTTGCGAGAGGTGACCAGAGCCGAGGCCATCTTATCTCCCTGTTCTGCCGCTTTCACGCTCGTGTGCGCGGCGGCTGCGTCCGCATCAAGGCGACTAAGCTCTTCTTTCATCATTGGAGTCTGCTAGATTGCATCTTGGTCCCCTCATCTCGACCCCTTTCCCATTGTATTTCATGAGAATACATAAAGCAAGGGGACCAAGATGCCGAGAAAGATGGACACTAAATGTTGACCATAACATCACATGGCATTCTCGGTAGAGAGTATAGGTTACATCCTCCTTCTCCATTCGCAGTTCCCTCCGGACGATGGCCCGAGCGCGCTTCACCGCCCGCGTGGTTTTGTCAGCCGCATCTTTAGCGCTACCGCGTCGCATCTTCCCCGAGGGGCATATCCTTGGACCCTTCTTTTTCCCCTTGAAAAAGAAGCCAAGTAGAACAATGGTGTTGCGGATGCTTCAGCGGTAGCCTTAACATCTTGAGGTTTGTCGTCCAAAGAAAACAACTTGGGGTGCAAAAACTCTGGTGGGACTTCAGCTCGTTTTCCTGCAAACACAGCGGAAGCGGCAGCACTACCCCGTAGGAGCTCAGGACCGAAGGTTGCCTCTAATTCGCGCTGTCGATTAGACCCTACGACCTATAAATATGCATCCTGAAAACAAAGGCTTCATTGAAGATCACCGTGTTTTTACATTTTTTATACTTTTGAATAAATTATTACAAAGCAAAGGGGTCAAAGATGCTTCTCAAACTCTTCAACAAGATGAATTACAGTTACGGCAAATCGTTCTCAAGATGAATTACATCGATTCTAACGTATTAATTAACTCTAAATTTGTTGTCCATACGATGAATTATATGTTAATTTGTGGTGGAGCAAACCTACCTAGGGAAGTTTTAGAATAAAGGAAGCGGTATATATATTAGGACTAGCAAAAATTGGCCATCTAGTATAGGATCCGTTTATTCTAGGCGCCGTCTGTCGCCCAACTGCCCTGGAGGTCTTCGCATCAGAGGCGGCCGTAGCCTGTGCGTGCCTCAGAGAAGTGTTCGGTTCCCACGCTATGTGCACCCGCTAGCATAGAAATCATAGAAAATAAGAATAAAGCCTTAAGTCGAGGAGAGTCTGCCTCTAAAAGTTGGATCAGACCCCCACTTTGCTTGAATTCCTCGCCTCTCTTGTGGTCTAGACCCGGTGGAACATGCAGATTCACGAAGCCAGCATCCAACCCATCTCGCCCACCTAGTCTCTTAGAAAACACCGTGGACTTGACATACAACCGACAGAAAAGAACCAGGAGAAACGTCGTATAGTATAAAAAAGAGCAACCAATTGTTCTTTTTCCAAGTTGATGATGACGAGTGACAACATTATCAAATAATGATCGGATCAAGCTTTTGATGTTTCTCGTTTTTAGCTCTCCTCTTATTCTTGTTTTTCTAGTTGAACACATATTACTTGTTTTTAGTGCTCTTGTTCAGTGTTACTAGCGCTTAGGTTACTGCTTCCTCATGTGCGGATGTACCTGTATCACTTCCTGAGTCGGTGACATTATCAAATACGCAAGTCGTAAACGCAGTTGGATCTTTAAAAGGTTCCGCTCCGATCACTTCTTCACCCAACGTGTTTAACCGCAGCCGCTGCAAAACGAAGTCGGCAGTTTCAGGTCCAGCCTCCACGAAGCGGATTCCATGTTTCCACTGTAATTTCTGGCGTCTGGCTGCTGGAAAAAGATTCGGCGAGAGATTACGAAGCTTTTTTTAGAGCTGGTGACGTGTGAATGTGTGTGAGTCAGCTCTTCATTCATTCATTCATTTACCTGTTCTGGAGGTATCTTTTGACGCTTGAGCTGATATTATATGGTCAGTGTTCGCGACCACATGGTTGTTGTAGAGACAAGATGGAGCTCAAAACATTCCTTCATTTCTTCAGAAAAATCGAGAAAAGAGTGGGAGAAATGAAAAAATGAATCTAAGGCCCTAATTTTTCGGACTCTTTTTTCTTTGCCGCAAGTGAGCCGCATCTTCTCGCTCCGCAGCCACATTGTCAGTCATCATATCCTGGAGATCAACGTCTCCTGTCGTAATACCCCTCTTCAGCATCGCTTCGCAGCTGGAAATGTACAGATGCATTGGCTTCACATCTACTCGGTACTGAGATTAGAGCAGCACTATGAAAGAGTAGAAAGATGCAGCACGACATACAGTAGAATATGTTCGTGTCATAGGAGAGTGGATAATATTCATGTTTTACTTAGTGCTTTGAGCGTCGCAGGACCTAAGCCGTCACCTACAAGGTGAAAGCCAATCAAGACTTGCCGCACACCTCTACGAGAAAATAAGGAGGAAACAAGAGCGTCCTGCTATGGGAGGAGGTTAATTAAGTACATAAGATTTGCATCATCTAAATCTATCTCCTCTTACTTATTCTTTTTTTATAGTGCTCTCCCAGAAGCATTAGGTACAGAATAAAGAATTAGCATTCACTCAGACCATATCCATACAGTAGAATATGTTCTTGTCATAGGAGAGTGTATAATATTCATGTTCTTGTTAGAGCAGTGTAATTGTTTCACTGTGTTCCTAATGGTCTCGGAGCTGCAGAACTAAATCCTTGGCGCCTTCCTTAGCCTCTGGTAGCTTCACCTTCCCCTCTTGTCCTTTCGCTACTCGCACGGCTGCCTGCACCCGCCTCAAATCCATATAGTAATCCTCTTGGCGCTCGCGAAGCATCTTGCGGGTCAGTTCGATTTCCTTTCGCAGGTCCTTTTTGCCTCGACGCCTTTGTATGCCAGGGCTGCCACTCCGAGCAGGCTGGCCGCTCGGTGTAGATGAATGCCACTGCTTGTCCACTTGAAGCGAGTCCACATTTGTAGTTGGCGCTTGCTGTTGCTCTTTCTCTGCTATGTTTGATGCCGCCACCTGGTCCCGTCCCTGATCGTCTTCTTGCCCAGCAAAGTCAGCAACGGATTAGATATGATCTCGTTGTCAGAATGGCCTGGCTCCTTGTTTTCTATTCCTGTGAGGAACTAGGAACTACCCCAAGGAACTTGATCCTAACGAACCCTGAAAGATTCTAGAAACCCTGAATCTTGATGAACTAGAAGCTACCCTAAAGACCTTGATGCAGTTAAGGGCTAAACCCTGAACTAGGAACCCCAAATCTTCTTGCTGTTAAGGCTCAGGGCAAAATATTGATCTATGGTGATTTGTTGGAATTTACTGAAAATGACAGGCCTCTTAAGTGTGGCGAACCTCGTGCTCAGGTGGTGCCGACGCGCCACTGCGAGAAGGACTCCTGTATTCACGTGCTGGCTTGGCGCGAGGGACATTTTTCACATCGAGGAATTGGGACAGCTTTTGTTTTTTCAGCCTCATACTCGCTGGCCCCACGCGAGTATCAACATCTTCGTGAGCATGTGAAATAACCGATTTTCGTTAGAGAAGGCGGATATTAGTAAAATAAGTTAATCCTGGGAGCTCTCGTCTTGCTCAGCAAAACGAAGGGCTTTCGTCTGGTTACGCAAGACGGGCGAGGGTAGATAGTTACGATCTTTATCCATATCGGTCTTACATACTAGAAGAACCAATGGTAAAAATATTAGTAGCACGCTCTAGAACTTGAGGTAAAAACGAGATCTACTCTAGACGACCTAAAACTACAACAACTAAATACAAGTACGAGGAATGGTAAAAATCATATACAATTTGAGTACTTTTTCTAGCCTGCATAAGCTGCATCTTCTTCCTGTTCCTGAGCAGCGTTGTCCGCGTTGTTACTACCATGATCGGGCAGGGCTACTTAAAGGTCAGCAGTCATTGGTCACTGACTCTGAACGGGACAAGGCGCCTTACAGACCTTTTCCCTTCTTCCCTTAGATTTCCCATGT